AAAAGACAAAAAAAAAGGGGGGGGGGGTTATGAGACTTGCTTTCTTTAGAAAGCAAAGCTTTTACAAAAGATTTCATCTTACCTGCCACTGAGGAGGTAGCTGAGCTCCAAAACCAAAAGCTGGAAACAACTTATCACTAAAAAGAAGAAGTATGAAACACCTGTTTGTTTTTTTTGCAAAACAAGAGCACTATCTTTCCTCACAATAAAATCAGTATGAGCTCATTTTTTAAATTTATTAAATCTCAAAAAGATATACAGATAAAACAAAAACTAACTGTAACTATCAGAGAGAACTAGTATTTACATTTGACAAGTCCTGTTCTAAGTATTTTTCTGTACATTGGGAAAAAGTCTTTACAACCTATAAAATAGAATTTATATTCATGTTTTATAACCTACACTTTTCTACTTAAATCTTACATGTTTCACCTAACAAATGTATAAGTAAATCCATAAATCCCTAAAACCACACTTTTCATTAGTCTATGGCAATTCATTTGGCAGTAAAATCTGACCTCAACTGATGAGTTTAGCCACAGCACTGATTTACAACATGAATATTCACCCAATTGGCACAAATGCCAAATATCACAAAGCTCTCAGGTTTCTGTAGAAAAAGTGTGACCCCAAGGATCTAGGGACAGGGTCTTGGAGCTGTGTGTCTAACATCATGCGAATGAATGCCTACGGAGTAGTCTGCAGTATGGTGTTCCTGACCCACACTAGTAGACAGCCAAGATTCTGCTATTATAAATCACTGTCACAAACACTAACTCTCTACACGGGATATTCTTTGTATATTAACTCTTAATGGCTCTTACTCCGCTGAAGATACAACCTACGACAGGTTAAAAATATTTTCCTTGGTTTGTAATTTGTCATTACCATAGTTTAGAATTTTTCCTTTCATACTTTTTAATATTAATATGAACATATAAAAATCTTTCATAATATCTGCTTTTGCTGTCTTAATTAAAAAAGCATTCCCACTGAAAGGGTATAAGCAATTCACATAATTTTCTAGAACTTTCAAAGTCTGCATGTATTATTGAACTGCTCATTCATCTAAGAAGTGCCATGCACTAGGTCACCCACTACTTTTTCCATCATGGAACACCTAAGTACAGAGCAGATCTCCTAGCTCCCCTGGGCTGATGTGGTCAGGTGGCTCGGATTAGGCAAGGAGATAGCAGTTGGTTCCTTTTTAATGCTCTTATTTATTAATCATATTAGTTGCACCAATTAACTGGTTAGGACTGTGACACTGCCATATGTGTACAAGTCAGCTGCTTCTGAACCAGGCAAATGCTCACCACACCCGGGCCCCTTTCTGCTTTTCCTAACTGCCAGAGAAGCTGCCCGAAACCCAGGTGGGTGTTCTAAAGTCGTACTTACGCATCATAATCTTGAATAACCAGTCCCACAGACCAGATGGCAGTCAGATACTCATTAACGCCGTTGGGACTGATGTAATGAAGGGAGTCTGGAGACCTGGGGTCACCATTGGAGCCAGTGAAATCCACTCCCACCTGCCAGATAACAATCGCAACACTTACCAAGGAGAAGGCTCAGCCACCCGTGGTTGAGATCCAAGAGAACGTCAAAGGATGAGATGCAAACATTCACTCCAGAGCCTGCTACTGCTACTTCATAACAAATGCCTACCAGTATCTCCACAAATGACTAAAGAATTAAAGCCTCAACATGAAACAGCTATTCTTGTTTTTCTAGCTGTCATTATACTCATGGCTTAAATTTACAAGTTGCTCTGCACATGTTTGTTGGATTAATGCTTTCTAGTCCTTAAAACACTGCAGGACAAATACTAGTTGGTGTACATCTGCTTTCTCTCAGAAGGAGTAGATCTCTCATCAACAAAGCCAAAGTGTCCAGAAGGAACCTAGACAACTACCCCAAAGTTTCAGAGGAGTTCATACTAAATACACTGTGTAAATTTCCTAACAAAGTCAGTTTATAAATACTACAAATTAGAGGAAAAAAGCAACATTTTATAGCATATGTTGGAAAATTCAGTGTGACTTACAGTAAAATTCAGTTGACATCCTCCCATGATATAGTCGAGGAATGTGCATTCCACTGTAATCTAGAGGAACAACATACTGTCAAAATTAAAATTCTCTTACTTTACAAGAAAAATTAAAGATCTCGCATATTTTAAAAGCTTATAATCTGAACAGCAGATCATATAAACATGTAGAAATTATACCTGTGTTTGATATAAGATGCTCCTACCCCTATCACAAACCTGTGAGATTTTACTTTAGTAATATTAAGATTAGAACATTAATGGCCAAAGACGAAATATACTCATTTATGATTTAAAAAATTAGAATAAAGTCAGGTGTGGTAGTGCACACCTATAACCACAGCACTCAGAAGGCTGAGGCAGGATTGCTGCAAATTTGAAGCCACCTTGGGCTACACAGCCCAACCTGAACTGCACAGCGAGACCTGTCTCAAAAAATGAAAAGGAAAAAAAGACAAAAAAAAAAAGGAATAAGTCTAGAATTTTGACAAAATAACAAGGTCTTTTTCAAAAAAGAACCACTTTGTTGTAATAGATGTTTACTTTTTCCCTCAAGTCTTAAGATCTTATTTTGAAATTATACCCAGGAGGGATGTACTGGGCCTGGCCATTTCTAAAAATAGGATGGAAAAAACGAATCTCTCCTTTCCTACAATAATGGAAACATTTTCATAGTCTTTCTACTTTGCTAAGAAGTTGTCTCCTTGGAAGAAAAATTACTTGAAAGATTTCTTTCATATTTCTCACTCTTTTCTAGGCCCTACAGCTGATCCAATGCTCCTATGATGCTTAGTTTCCTAAAATACTTGTTTGACATGAACCATAACAACGGAAGAGCTTGAAATATGATATTACATTGTAAGAGATCAAGGGCTGGGGACACAGCTCAGCAGCATAAGTGCCTGCCTGGCATGTACAAGGTCTCAAGTTCCATTCCCAGTACCATACACACACAAAAAAAAACATTGGAAGTGGCCAATATCAACTGACCTCACAGTGTTTCACAATGATAACACCTGAATTCTTATAGCTTTTTTTCTTTTGCTTCTTTTTTTCATTTATGCATTCATATTCAATCTGTAAGAGAAGACAAAATGCTAATTTTTAGTAGCAGTTTCAACAACATCAATGATCAACCTTTTCTCCTTGGAATCAATCCATGCACTGATAGAAGTATGCTACTAAATACAACTCTGAAACAATCAAATGCTACATTAAGTCTGTGAAATATTTATTGGTTAAATTTCCAACAATCAAGGCACTCCTAAAATTGCATACTTTTTAAAATAGTTTCCAAGTATAATTTTGCCAGTATAAGTAATTTCCTCAAAATGTTTCAAGTGATAACCTTTGTTCTTTATAATAAAAGAAGAAAATATTCAGTGGCACAAGTGCCTGCCTAGCAAGCACAAGGTCCTAAGCTCAAGTCTTAGTACCCCTCCAAAAAAATTACTTCTAGCTATTAGCAACACAATGAAAAATATTTAGGAAAAACATTATAAAACAAGTACTTGAAGCTCAACTCTGTGATAACATAAAATAAGTAGAAGATTAACTCTTTCCACCGGGAATACATGTTTAAAGGAAGAGCGAAATTTCTACTGTGCTTTTTGTTGTTGTTCTTGCTGGTTTT